GCGAAGGATGGGAAAGGAGGTAGGAAGGAAGGAAGGAAAGGAGGCAGGAAGTGAAGTGAAGGAAGGGAGAAAGAAGATAGAAAGGAAGGAAAGCAGTAAAATGAAGGAAGGAAGGGGGAAGAGGAAGGAAGGAAAGAAAGAGAAAGAATTCAGTCATCTTCAAAGCCACCCATTTTTCAAATGTCTCCTTTCAAAAGTGCAATTAGTTGTATTTTTTTTAGTACTGTTTAATTTTTTTAAAATTTTATATGCTTTTTATGGCGTATGAGGTGAAGGTTTATAGAGCAGATCGCCATTCCACGTTCAACCATGCATCCACATTCGGACCTAACTCACCTCTGCCATCCCTTTAACGCACCACCCTCTATCCCACTTCCTCCCTGTGTGTCCTGTTTCTGTGCCTCCTTCTCTCCTAACCCTCCAGTCCTTGAGTTAATGCTGCTACCCCTTTGATTTTAAAGGAGAGGTGAGTTCCAATCTAGACCATACCCTTGGGGGTCCCTCCAGTCTCTAGCTGACCGGTTAGCTCTGACTCTTTTATGATTTTGAGTTTTGTTCCACATTTTCTCCCACTCTATCCAGTACTTTCTAATTCTGGTCCTTTTCAGAGCAAATAATTAATGGTAGCTGGGCACCAACTAGTTCTTCTGAGCTTAGGGTTGTAGAGACTTTTGTGTGGCCAATGGACCCATTTGACTAGTTGTTTGCGGGTATCTTTTTATTTCTGTCCCTCTTATTTTTATCTGGATAGGAAGAGACCAATCGTTGAACCTTTGATGACCACCCATAAGTTTTAAGACCCAGCTGTTACTCACCAGAGTAGGATGTAGAACATTGTCTTTGTGAACTATGCATGTAGTGCCGATTGACTGTGGTGCCCCCCAAGACTATGACTCTGATACTCCAAGCCCAGTGACTTGTCCCTTCAAGGTGATTGGTTCAGTCTAACCTGCTTTCCTAACCTTGCCCTCTGTGTGTTACACCACATTCACGTATATATTTGCAGCAGAAGCAAATAGACATACACGAATGTGCTCCATCAAGCCTATGAAGATTCAGGAGTGTACTCCCACTCGCCCTCTTCCACCTGTTCCATCCTGCACAAGTATCTGTCTTAATTGGTCTAATGTGGAACCTGGGCATCAGTATTTCCAAAGTTCCTCCGGAACCTTAAGTAAACTGTTGAGTAAACAATAGGCTGCTGACCAAAGGTCATTGGCTCAAACCCAGCAAACACTCTGAGGGAGAATGATGAGGCGACTTGCTCCTAAAAAGATTTACAGCCGAAGCAGCATATCTAGGGTTCCCAGGAGTTGGAATTGACTTAAAGGCAGTGGGTTTGGTGTTCTTGGGTTTCAGATGAAACAAATGTGCAACCAGGGTTCAGAATACAAAAGAAACCTGATTCTAAGAATAAATATACCTGCGCCAAACCAACTAATGTCCCTATGTTATTAAAGTTTCTAATGCATTAAATAATAGCCTGGACAATATTGGTGCTGGCTCCACAATAGGATTGATATCATTGTTATCACTGGATTGTACACATGAATAACATGGACTTGGTAGATGTTGTTCATATTTTTTATAGTTAAAAATATGTGAAGGCAAAATAATAATAACGCAAACACTCCACTATGTCCAGGGCCACACCAGCCTATTCTGCTGTCATCTTAACGGTGGTGATTTTGTTGTTGTTGTTGTTGTTAGGAACTGTCGAGTCAGTTTCAACTCATAACCACCTTTGGTCAACAGAATGAAACACTGCCTGGTCCTGTGCTATCCTCACAATTGTTGTGCTTGGACCCATTGTTGTAGCCACTGTGCCAACCCATCTTGTCAATCTGTTCCTCCACTTTGCCAAGCATGATGTCCTTTTCCAGGAACTGGCTTCTCCTGCAAACATGCCTGAATTACACGAGACAGAATTTCCCATCCTCATCTCTAAAAATCATTCCACGTGTACTTCTTCCAAAACAGATTTGTTTGTTCTTTTAACAGTCCATGGTAAATAGTCTTTCAATATCGAATATTCTTTTCCAGCACCATAGTTCTTTCAATATTCTTTCAAAGACTACTTTCAATATTCTTTTCCAGCCTCATAGTTTAAATGCATTGATTCTTTTATGGTCTTCCTTATTCAATGTCCAGTTTTCCCATGTTTATGGGGCAACTGAAAATACCATGGCTTGGGTAAGGTGCACCATAGTTAGATAGTCATTACTGATGGCCCATGCTGCATGCAAACAACTGTAGGAGCTTGTATTGCTGGGTTGGTTTCCCCAGAAAACCTATGGGACTTGGGAGATCGGAACTTTAAGGCACGTCTCTACAGAAACCCCATTCACACATAGCAGCTGCACCCTGGGTGAGTCATCCTGGGTTGAATTGCTCTCCGTCAAGCACAACCTGAAATTACACCAGGCAATCAACACCATCGATTGCAGGCAACCTGACAGCTGCAGCCCTTTACAAGGGATGGTGCTTGCCCCAGAAAGGTCAAGGTATTGTCTCAGCCCCATTGGTCTGCTCTCCCTCAATTCTCCCACTCTCTGCTTTACAGCTAAGCTGCAGCTTTGCACAAACAATTACTGATTCAAAGCATACCAGTTAAAGGAAATGCTATTTGGATTTTACAGTGACAACTCAGAACTGAAGGCTAACTTGGAAGTTTGGGGAATGTTGGTAAGATGGTCTCAGTTATTATGATTTTCAAACCATTGGTATAACTAGTTTGTTTGTTTTTACTGAGCCCATTTCCTGACTGTGTTAGTCCGGGTTGACTAGAGAAACAAATTCAGGGACAATCATATGTGTGTAGGAGAAAGCTTTATTTCAAAGAGCAATTATATATTAAGAAAACATCCCAGGTCAGATAAGATCAAATCCATAAGTCCAATATTAGTTCACAAATTCCTCTTTAGACTCAGGCAACACACCCCATCAATAATGCTGAATGCAGGAAGATCACAGGCCAGTGGTGGATCCAGTGGCAGTGGAAGCATCTGAGCCCTGGTGTGGGTCTCTACGTAGCTCCTCTAGCTCCAGAGCTCTGGATGCCATCAATGTAGCTCCACGTGACTTGTTAACAGGAATGTGACAATTAGGGTTGGCACAGTGACGGTAATAATGGGCTCAAACATAACAATTGTGAGGATGGCCTAGGACCAGGCATGTCCAGCTGACTCACTGCCGTCACATCGGTTCCAACTCATAGCAACCCTATAGGACAAGGTAGAGCTACCTGTGTGAGTTTCTAAGACTATAGCTCTTTATAGGAATAGACAGCCTCATCTTGCTCTCTCTGAGCACACTGGTGGCTACAAACTGCTGACTTTTCTCTTAGCAGCTCACTGTGTAATCACCACGCCACCAGGGCTCCTTAGCTGCACTGAAGGCCTGGCAAACACAAAACTCCAGAAGTAAATGGAAATGTTTCAACCAACTGATGCAGTGTTGCTGCCCTCATTCACCTATGCCAAGGAATCTGGAAGACGATTACCTGGCCAACTGAGTGGACGGTTTTCATTTCCATTGACCCTGTATATGACCTTGGTGGCTTAGTGGGTTACACATTGTACTGCTAACTACAAGGTTAGAAGTTTGAAACTACCAGCCACTCCTCAGGAGAAAAATGAGGCTTTCTACTCCTGCAAAGGGTGATCATCTCAAAAAGAGAGAGTTCTACTTTGTCCTATGGTTGCTATGAGTCAGACTTGACTAGATGGAAGTGATTGGTAATTAGTGTTTTGAATTTTCTGTTTTACCTAACATGATGCCCTTTTCCAGCAATGTTTCTTTGCCGATAACCTGCCAAAGTAAGTGAGACAAAGTTTCCACATCCTCTCTTCTAAGGAGCTTTCTGGCTGTACTTCATCCAAGCCTGATTGGTTCTTTCTCCTGGTATAGTCCCTGGACTGGTGTCATCAATAATCCACAGTCCATAGTCCATGAATTGGTGTCATCCATAGTCCAAGGACTGATGTCATCCATAGTCCACAGTCTATGGACTGGCGTCGTCCATTCAACAGTCTCCTCCAACACCTCAGACATCAAAGATGTAGCTGTAGCACTCAAGCTCAGTTTGCTCCTGGAATAAGCTTGCCTCATACAACCTGATCCTGATGATCCGCCCCTTCCCACTAAAAGTGGCTTTGCAGTCTCAACCACCCAGGCATTTCTTCCAGCTGCGCGGCCTTTTCAGCGACAGATCTGAGTAGAAGGTTTTTGCACCCTGACCCCCACTCCATTGATGGCTTCTCATGTGACTTCAATGTCCTTCTGGCAGTCTTGCCTAATGAACACACATCCTCTTCACTGTCATCTCTCATAGCTCTCAGGTCAACCTGCCAAGAGGGATACCCTGGCAGGGGACTCTGAGAAACATGGAGTCTGGAGAGGTGACTTCACTGAGGAATCTGAAAGGCTTGAAGTGTATTCTGAGGTCAACCCACGCCCACACCATCAAGTTCCATGTCTGGGGAGGTCCCCACCATTCAGCTTTATGCGTCCTTCTGTTTTGGTCCCTCTCTTCTTTATGTCACCCCCTTTATTTCTCTTGAACATGCCTTCTGGGGACTCCACTGCCCCGGCCATTTTCATGTCTATAAAGTTCTTAGACTTCTTTAAAACAAGAACCTAGGTGCTTTAAAATCTAAGTACTCATAGCAGGTCTGAGTGTCCCAATGAAATCTGACATAAAAACCGGTGTTAGCAGGAATGATGAAGGTATTGAAATTGTCCCAAAAGGAGAAGCAAGTTTATGTCCCTTTTGTCGCCACCTTTTAATTGGCCCATCTTTTTTCCACCCCCTTAGAAAATTATGACAAAAATTAAAATTTAGCTTTATGGAATAGTTATAACTAGCAATAAATGCCACACTGGACTGTGAGCTGTGAATTTGGCCATGAAAATGTAACTAAAGGTTTTCAGGGCTCAGAATGGTTTTTATTGTGATGATTGTGGACCTAATTTAATAACACCACTTCTTTTCCTTTCAGACAGATGAGCTTAAAGGATTTACAAGAGGTAAGTAACAGGGGCACCCAGGGAAACATCGGAGCAGACATGATTAAATGTTTGCTGGGCGCATGGTGTGGAGCCCTGCTGATGCAGTGGTTTGGTGCTTGGTTACTAACTAAAAACCATCCGTTCAAACCCATCCTCGGCTCTGCAGGGGAAAGATGGGGAAAGAGCTGCAGCTTTGCAAACCCTGTGAAGCAGCTCAGCCATTTGCTTTGGGGCCTAGCAGACTTAAATCTTGCAATAACTACTAGGAGAAGTACAGCTGACAGATCATAGGGCCAGACCCTGAATGCAAGTCCAAAGATCAGGGATCCCATCCTCACCGCGATGACTGCCTTAGAGAATACAGAGAGTGCTGCGCGACTAGGGAATAGAGGAGAAGGAAGGACTCCTCATGGTGTGGTGAGTTAAGCACCACACCATTAACAGAGAGTTCAGCCTCATCCGATGCTCCACAGAAGAACCATGAGGCTACCTGCTCCCTTTAAGATGTCCACTGGGGTCAGAATGGACTTGATGACCATGAGGATTTTTATCCTTCAGGGTGGGCCCCTGTGTGCCAGAGCTGAACTGCTCCAAAGGGTTTTCTTGGCTTCAAAGAGCTTCGGTGGCACAGTGGTTAAGCTCTTGTCTGATCACAGGTCAGCCTGCCAACTCCACCAGCTGCTCTGCAGGAGAAAGATGTGTCAGTTTGCTTCTGTTACGACTGGAACCCTTTGGGCTGGTTCTACTCTGACATCGTAAAGGACCATTATGAATGGGATTGACTTGATGGCCATGGGTTTGGGTTACTCGTAACTGGAGTAGACTTCCAGTCCTCTCTTCTGTCAGGCTAACCATCAAGGGAATACACACCATTTGTGTCTTGTAGGTACCGTGGGTTAAAATCAATTCAGCAGCAACCACCAACTTCCAAACAATTATTATCTAAGACTAAAAACTCACATCCATCGAGTGGATTCCTATTCATAGCAACCCTCTAGGGCAGGCTAGAACTGCCCACTGTGGGTTTCCAAAACTGTTACTATTTATGGGAGTAGAAAGCCCTGTCATTCTTCCCAAAAGTGGCTGGTGGGTTTGAACTGCTAACCTTGTGGTTAGAAGACAAACTCGGAACTCACTAATCCATCAGGGCTCCTGTCTAAGCATAGCCACCATATAATTGAACTCAAGTGGAGTCTGAATTTATATCAAGACCCCACATGGCATTAGGACTCATACTGTAGACTACAGCCTTCCTTCAGCAAACAAAGTACTTTAGCACGTAAGCTCCAAGGCAGGATTATAAAACCAAAAATAATATTTCTAACTTATGACTCAAACATTGAAACAGTTATTACTTGTGGTGAAGTGGAATTTCTTAATATGTCTCTTCTAGCCAAATCTCTAATTCCCACCCTTTAAAAGTTAGGGTAGAATGATGCAAATAGAATGTGTGAAACACTAATAGAGGGGATTGGTCAGTTCTGGTTGCCATTCCCTTGGCTAAAATGAGAGTCATTCTAAAAACAAGAATAGGGAGAAATCCCAGGACCATCAAGGAAGAAGAGCAACCAGTGGAGTTGCCTAAAGGCACCAGAAGCAGCTTCACAGAGACCATGAGACAGAGCAAACAGGCCAGGCTGAAACAGAGCAGTGGTGGTACCACTGAGACTGTGGTCTGTTAGGCAGAGCAGCAGATGGGATATCTGGCCAAGGGTCGAGGGGTGTTGCAGGAGTCCTCCACAGGTGGGGTACTTCCCTTTCCCAGAATAACAAGGCAGAAAAGGTGTACTAGAGAGGAGTGCCTTGCAAGAGGAGACTTGGCAGCTCAGGACAGAGAAAAAGGAGAGGTTTGTAAGGGAGTTTAGGCAGGAAGGAGATTATGTTTATTCATGAACAGAGAAGGAAGATTCCAGGAATTGGGTCTACATGGGTGGGCACACAGCAGGTGTTCAAAAATGGAGTCCAAGATAAAGGCTTCTGACTAAGCTGTCATTCTGATCCTGTTAACTTCCCTAATAAATCCTCCTAATTGTGATCATTGTCTGTTGTGAGCTCTGTGTGGCCATTGCAATGAATTCTAGAACCCAGCAGAAAAGTAGAGTGTCGTAAGAGGAACAGTTGGTGTTAGACTAGGATAAAGAAGGATGGATGGTGGAGACATGTGTGATGTCTTTCTTATGGCTCTTCTCAGTCTCTCAACTGAAACCCTGGGAGGATAGATGTGGCCCCCCATGCTGTTTTCTCATTACCTCTAATCCATAAGGCCATCAGGTCAAGAAGGCTAGTCCACATGATTACTGAATAAAGGGGCCTAGGCTGTCCTGGATCCATTGAAGAATTCACCAGCCTCCTCTACTGTAGACATTGCTGGACATCGCCAGTGCCGCCAGGAAAGAGAAAGTTTGGGGTGGTACTTCACTGTTGGGTAAGCCACATGTTGAAGGAGTCCCTAGGGAGTACAAACAGTGAAGCACTTGGTGTGGCTGGTGACTCACCCCCTACACACAGATCCCTCCGAAGACAGGCTTGATCATCTGCCTCTGAAAAGGCATAGACTTGGGAACCCTACAAAGCCCTTGAGCTCTGAATACACAGGGCTGTCATGAATTGACTTGAAGGCAAACACAGTGTGTTAGTCCGGGTTGACTAAAGAAACAAACCCAGAGACACTCATGTGTGTAAGAGAGAGCTTCACAACAAAGAGCAATTGTATATTCAGAAAATATCCCAGCCCCTCCAGATCAAGTCCATAAGTCAGATATTATCCCATATGTCCAATGTCATAAATTCCTCTTTAGACTCACACAGCACATGCAATAGTGCTGAACGCAGGAAGATCACAGGCTGGTGGGTGAAAAGTCTAATGGATCCAGTGGCAGTGGAAGCATCTCAATAGTGGTGCAGGTCTCCACATGGCCCCTCCAGCAATCCAAATGTCTCAACAGCAGGAAAGTGAAGCAGAGAAAGAGTGTGTGACTCTCCTATATGGAGAGAGGATAAATCCTCATGAGAAGGCCATGATCACAAAGAGGCATCATCAGGCTGTGACCTGATTGACAAGCCAGACTCCATCCCTACACTTATTTATCAAGTTGACCTGAAATTGCGTAACTACCACACACAGCAAGAAGGTCCCTGAACCTAACGCCTCTACCTCTTTCTTACAACAGCCCAGGCTTATATGTCTAAAGAGCAGAAGGTGGCCTGCCACTCAAGGTGACCTCAAGTCCATAGCTTACTGGTTAGTCAGATGACAGCAGGATGGCCCATCAGTTACAGGCAATAAGGAAATGGTGAGCTCATCCATAAAGAGCAGACACTATGCCTTCTTTGGAACTGTGGCTGGCATCTGACCGGAGGGGGGTATCATATAGGAATCAACAAGGCCTAGTGGGAAAGCATGTTCCTGCTCCTATCTGTTGCTGGGACACTGCCCCATTGTCTCTCTGGGCTGAGACACAAAGCCATTTCCCCATCAGGAGAGTCCATTTGTAGGGCACATGCTATATCTGTGTAGGTGTGTGTTAAGTGCCTGCATGTTATCCATGCAGCTGAATCCTTGTAAACCCATCACTCTTGTGCCAAGCAGCACAACACTTAATAGTCTTTGAAGGAAGGAGCAATTCATTTGTCTAGTGTTACCCTCACAACAATCCTAAGAGTAAGGGGGCCTCAAAGAGGTGGCAAGAATTCCCACAGCTTACAGACCAGCCTCTGGACTTCCAAAGGAGAACAGGGCTCTCCACTCCCATCCCTAAAATAAGGACATCATGAAGCTAACACAATCAAAAAGGAAATTTGATGCAAGAAGGAAATAGGAAAGACGGAGGGGAAGGAGGAAGGGTGGAATAAAACTGAGTTTACTCCTTAACTTGAATATGTTCATTCTCTTGTCAAAAAATAAAAGTTAAAGTAGAGAAGCTAGAGATTCTACCCCAGTTTCCTGATGGCACTTGGTTTTAAATTCAGAGCCCTAAAACAGAAACAAGTTGGCTGGGTCTCAAGGACATAAAACAACTGGTTTCCCAGAGGGAGATCCTCTCAACCATATTTACAGCCTGGCTTCTGCTCTCTTGGCAAGCCAGACAACCGACAACCACCACATTTGATGGGGCTCCTGGAACTGCCAGGTTCAAAGTCGTGGAGTAGGCACTGTGGGGAGAGTGCAGACCACTCATTGGAATGGATTCATTGCCCCTTCCACTTCATGAGCACACCTGTCTTGATTTGCTGTCTATAATGAAACAAATGTGGTCTTTCCAGAACTCTAAGAGTAGCAGAGGTCTTTGAAACAGAGGAGTTTGTGTGTTGGTTTGCTCCATAGAAGACACACAATAACAGTTTGTTGGTAAAGCTTTATGGTCTATGAAGGTGTTTTAGGGGAGAACAGTGACACACACCCCCATCCAAGCCCACATATAATTTATAGAGACAAATATATTGTCTTAAACATGACAACAACATCAACAACAAAGATCATTGCCACCTAGTTGATACTGATTCATGGCAACCCTATAGGACAAGGTAGAACTGTCCCTGTGGCTTTCCAAGACTGCAAGTCTCCATGGAAGTAGAGAGCCTCATCTTTCCCTGGCAGAGCAGCTGGTGGTTTTGAACTGCTAACCTCTCAGTTAGCAGCCCAACATGTAACCACTATGCCACCAGGGCACCTAAACATGGTAGACAAAACAGCAGCAAAGGCACACCTTCCAGATGAGGGAGACCATCAGCACAAGGAGATAATGGTGTCCAAGGATTCACAGAAACTTGGTCACTTAAATAGGACATGGAAAGCAAAGGAAACCTCAAAAAATCATAACTGATGCCAGTTCCATACATCACAATTGAAGGCCAGGGATGACTCGTGACTATATGACCCTAGTTCCCCAATTTCCATCAAGGGCACAGCCAGGCAAGTGACTAAGAGCCAAGCTGATGTGCTCTGGCTGGGGGAGTGGAAGTAATCGACTTTGTAGCGTCCTCTGCCTGGAGGCAAAGCTATTCTCAGTGCCTGTTAA